AACAGCTATACGAAAAAATCAAGCAAGCCATAACACACTGCACTCAGGTTGCCAACCTGCCAAGCAAACAAGAATAAAACCAAATCCAATTACTTATTTCCTTTCCTATTATACCTACTAACCCTCGCATTATGAATACCACGATCGGCAGAGCGACCAACGAATTCCTCCTCACTTACATGAAAATCCTCTTCATCCCCACTAGAAGGAGAAGATAAATCATCTTCTAAAATTAACCAATCTGTTTGAAGCAAAATAGATTTTTTTCCAGACATAGTCACGTGAACTTTCATTTCAGCGTTAGACAACACTGTGGGCCTCCGAAGGAGCACCTCAAAAGGGGCTTAATGGGTCAATTTTGACCCATTAAGACTTGGGTTGACCAAGTCAGAGGTTGACTTGGTCAACTCAACCTATCATGCCCATGTCTGGGCAAAATCGAGGTCAACAAACACAGAAATAGGAATATTAATAATATTAACGTTGCTCACAAAGCCTTCGGCATAAGGTAAATCCGATTGAACCTATTTAACCACGCCCAAATTAACCGAAGAGCTGGCAGCCTCCTGATACACAGGGGATAATTCTCGAATTAGGGAACGTGATGAAGCAGATTGCTCAACAAGATCACAAGGCACAATAATCCCAGTCAAACCACACGAGACAGACACATCACCCACACTAGACAAAAAAGTTATAAAATTAAAGTCACTACACAAAGCACCACCATCACTAGCACAAACCCGAGAGCCCTGAGCAACGGGCACAACCCTAGCCACAATATAATTCACTTGAGATAAAGGAACATAATTCACAGGTAAAACACCCTATGAAACCTCCACATACCCCACAAAATTTGCTACAAGGCCACAATCAACAGCAATCGCTTCAGTTGAACAATTCCCCATAGAAAGCAATGACACAGCAGGAGGGGGAGGAGAATTATTTAAAACAGAATTAACAATCAGAACTACAATAGTAGAAAAATCAAGACCCTTAGGACTCAAATTCATAAGAGCACAAACCCTTAAAACATCCACAACTTTTCCCAAAACCTGCCCATCAATGATAGGAGCAGGGATAGCAGACGATACAATCAAAGGGGGAAGTCAACACAACCTAAACTCTCAGAACCTAACCAAATACAGTTTGGATAGGACTTAGTAATATCAAGCTCCACAAGTACACGAACCAATTAAAGCCAGGAACCCGTAGAGGTAGCCGCATCTATTTTCATGGGTTTACCAAAAATTGTTCCCAAAGCATGAATAATATGAGGGGTATAGAGGTGCGGACGTAAAAGCGGAAAAGAAACTCAAACTGGGATAACAGGCGACTCAATACCAACATCTAAGCTAGGTGACCATTTCATGAGCTTCATGTAGCAATTGAAAACATGGTAGGAACAGTGACAGAAGACGCTCCAGTAGTCCAAATAATTCGCTATTTAATCAAAATGTGCGAATGATCAAGCAAAGTGATGGAAAATTCACTGTTTAATTTTAGGTTAAAGAAGAACTTGCAGATTGAATCAAGAGAATGTTTCTTAGTTGGGAAATAACCAACTAAGGAAAATTGAAAAGGGATGGCCAGTTCATTGATTTCCTGATCGAAAATCCACAGGGAAGGTAAACCATGAAACGTAGTGGTCCACAGCTCTGGAAAAACAAAGTTTGAACCAGCAAGCACCTCCAAAAATGAGCGCGAGTGAGACAATCCCCCTAAAAAACCCAAACCAGGAGCTGGTTCAAACTATGTTTTTCAAACTTTGTTTAGACGAATCGGCGCCATATCAGTGAATGTCAGAGACCAAAACGAAAATGAGAAAACTCAAAATCTAGAAAAACACAAAACAAGGATGATAGAACTTCCCTGAAAATCACCAAGGTCGTCGACACCATAAGGGGGGAGGCCCTAGCAGGGTGGGGGAACCCCGACAAAATGCCAGAGACGGAACCCTAGCTGAGGAAAAATAAGCGGAGCTGCATCTATTTTTAAGGGTTTACCAAAAATTGTTCCTAAAGCATGAAGAATACTAGGGGTATAAAGGCCTGGATGCAAAGGCAGAAAAGAAACTCAAACCGAGATAACAGGCAACTCAACACCAACATCCAAGCTAGGCGACCATTTCGTGAGCTTCATGTAGCAGTTGAACACAAGGTAGGAACGATGACAGAAGACCCTATAGTAGTTCAAATCATTCGCTAGTTTAATCAAAATGTGTGAAGGATAAAGCAAAGGGCGGTTTCATCCAATTTAAACCAGTTAGGGTTTTTGTTTTTTTTAGTTTTTGGCTTTTTGCATCGAAGGGTTTGATATGTCGGTTAGGGCATCATTTTTTTCCCATTTCTCCTTTCGAGTTTTTTAGGGTTTATATTTTTAGGGTTATTTAGTTTTGCTATTAAAGGATTGTACTCCTTGTATGTTTAGTTGGCATCACTCATCAGGGATTTTTAGGGATTTTTTAGTTATATGCAGCACCATTATGCTTTATTAATTTGGGGATTTATAAATTATATTATGTGGCAGTGACATCCGGGATTTAATGCAGACATGTAGTTAATGCAGTGTAATTGATATGTCATATATGAGCATGTTTGTGACTGAGAATATGACAATGGCCTGTGGTTATTGGCGGGGATAAATGTTGAACTTGAAATTCTTGAATCATTGAATAATTGATGTGAATTTCATCATTTATTATGCAAAAATGCTTCATCTTGTAATGTTGTATCTTATATGATGCTATCTCAAAATCTCTTGCTCTCTTTTGATTCCTGGTTCACTATTTGCTGTAACTGTTGTTATTATACAATTATATCTATTGTTGCACTCTCTGTTATACAAGCTATAACTACTATTATACATACTTTGTATAATATAGTTTAATTGGTTCACTAAATGTAGGATTCAAACACCATTCATGAGTTTTTTATTGATGAGAATGAGCAAGTTGGCATTGCTGATAATGTGGTAGAATCATTTGATGGTGTATGTAATGATGGTTCGATAATAGTAAAGAAACGTAGAAGGACGACTTCTGTTGTTTGGGATTATTTTGAGATATTTTCTACTCCTAAAAATGGTAAACAAAGGTGTAAATATAAAAAATATTGTACAGTATCTATGTGATAACAAAAATGGGGCTGGTAACTTAAGACACCACTTACAAAATTACAAGAAAAGAGATACATGTGATATAGGCCAGCTCATATTGCAAATCACTTATAACTCATCTATTTCTATGGTTGATTATAAGTTTGACTTGACATAATTTCTTGATTTATTTACTGCTTGCATCATTATGCATGATTTGTCCTTCCAATGTATTGAATGGGTGGGTGTTCGAGCACTTTTGACCTATCTTCGTCAGGATTTTTGATTGTATTAAGTAGAGTGTTTGGAATAAAAAAAAGATCTACAACAAAATATTATGACAAAGCGGAGCTGCACTTTCATAATGCTTGATAGTGCTATATACTATCGAAGGGCTTTTCTACACATAGAGTTGGGTGATTCCAACTATAAATCTTATCCTACATCTTTAGAATGGGAGAGGGTTGAGGCTATTTCTAATTTTAAGCTCCTTTCTATGACATATCGTGTGTTATATCTAGCACAAAGTACCTAATAACAAATCTTTACTTTCCATGCATTTTGACAACTTATGCAACATTGAAACATGAATTGTCAGTGAACCTTGACTAAATAAAAAAAAAGGCTTCATTTGTTGGCTATATATATTATTATGCCAATGATTATACCTGTTGTTACAGAGTGCAGCAGTTTCATGATATCGGGTATATGCTAATAATTATAGTATAAAATACAAATGATTGTACATGTTGTTAAAATGCTTACATCAATGTTACTATACATGCTTAAAATGCTTCATCTATTTTCGGCTATTGATGTTGGCAATACACGATGTTGAAGTTTATTAGATGTTGTTATTACACATGCTTTGAATGCTTCATCTATTTTTTGTGTAACTATTATTATAATGCTATTAAACCTAATTTGTTGTTGGGAACCGGCTTCATCTATTTTTGGTGTCTATTTTTTTTGCAATTGCTAGATTTTTAACTGTTTTGTTATTTTGCTTTTTTGCCTGTTGGTTGTTGTTTTTCTGAAGCCTGTTATGGCTGTTGTAATGCTATTTTTCTGGTTGGCTATCTGGTTGTTGTTGAATCTGAACTTAGAATGCTTTATCAGTTTATCTATTTGATGAATTAAGGTAAATGCTAAAATTATGAAAGCTCAAGCAATGATGAGAAACTTTCTAAGCTAAAATTGAAAGTCCTTAGATATAAATACTAATTTTATAATGTAGTATTTATAAATGTAATATTGTAAATAATTTATACACTTACTTCTAAAGTTCTAATGTAAAATTTTACCTATTGTTGTTAAATATGTAAATTTAATTATAAAATTGTTTCTTTGTTAGGTCGTGTTGACCTGAAACTGAACCAAGTCGGATTCGGGTTGAAAAAATGAAACTGAATCCTAAACGGGTGGGGTTAAGAATTGGCTTGTCAAAGTCAGGTTAGACCCGCAAACACAATTTGACACTTCTAATTATAACGATGATGTTTTGACCCTATATTGGTTATTTATGTTTTTTTGGATTAAGAATATTAATTTTCTTATAGGTGGCAAAGAGCTTAAACCTACTACATTGATGCTACATATTTAAAATTTAATGCATTTTATATGATTTTATTGAATGTGACTTTGCTGTGACTATTAATTGTATTTTAATTGTCATATTGAATGTATTATGATCTATTACATATTGGTAATTTTATTAGAATATGAAATCATCAATTGTCATGTTTGTGATTAGAATTAATTTTAATGAGTTGGGACTTGATTGATTAAGATTTTGTTTATGGCAACTTTTTTATTGCTTAAAAAAAAAAACTTAATACAAAAAGTTTGCAATGGATTATAACTTTCTGCAAGCTTATGATGAATTACAAACATTTGCTATAGACTTCTGAAAATCCATTTGCTATATGTTCTTGTAATGCAAGGAAAAAAGCAGCATAGTCAAGGAGCAATTATTACATTTGTTTATTGATTTAACAAATACTAACGCACAGAACATAACCATTATCAACAGATACAGATTTGCTTGCATTTTGACAAAGCTGCTAACATAGAAAACTACATAATAGATTTCTAGAACCTAAATTTAAATATTCAACGGACACAATTACTGTAAATTCCCTTGCAAACTTTACAGGTCCCGCACCCTTTACAGCACAGCAGCCTAACTTTATTGTCTATTTAGCATCCATTCTATGTACAAATATCATTGTAGTTTCTTCTGCTATTCAAACCAAGAATTGGTACCATGAGCCATGAACTTGCAAGGAGACTTTGGCCATAATAATCAATACCTCTGCAGCTCTCACCACTCTATCTAATAACATAGCAGCTCCTACCTTCTGCAGAATCCCTTGTGCCAGTCTCCGCCCGCGATGTCCGGTTCCGGCGAACAGAACAGCTCGGGTCGCCAAATAGATGGAGCGGTTTACCTTTCTGAACACTGGGTCTTCATTGTCTAAGCTCTTCTTTAGTATGCTCGCCATCAGCTGCTTTCTGGTTGAAAGTTTTTCTTCTGGGAATGAGTTAGCTATTGTTTCAATGATTTCTTCAATGCCGATGTCGGGTACATTGTCAAGAAGCTCGGAAAGACTCTTTACAGAGTTGGATATTATTGTATCCAGTTCTGATAAAGAGGGTACTAAACTCTCACTGATGACAATTTGACGGAGTACCAAGATACTGCATGTGAAAATATAAATTAGTCAATTCACATTGTGAACTCTGTTGAAATTGATTAATTAAATGCTGATGATAGTACTCTGTAATCTAGACTACAAATAATTATAAAGATGTGCCAAGATGAACAAAATATTTCAATAGAGTTATGCAATATGTCATAACGTCGTCAAGAAAAAAAAAGAAAAAAAAAAAAGAAAGAGAGATGTATTGTTTAGAGAATTTGGGCACGACCAACACTAGAAAGGAAATATACCAATAAAATAGGTTTAAGTGTTGAAAATATTAAAAAGAAAAGCAGTGTAGAGTAAAAGGTAACATGGATGGATAAGATGCTAAAAATTTGCTCGAGATATGATTATCATATCATGCAACAGGAGGAAATATTGAAGAATAGCAAATTCATAAAACTAACAACAAATAGTTGAGAGAAGATAAAAATGATTATGATTATAATGATCCAGAATATATGTCTATATACTTCGTGGTGAAATCTCCATAGAATAATACAAAAGTTATAACATCATCAAAGAAAGTAAAAGAGTTTTATTAACAAAGAGCACTTCGATATCACACATTACAATTGTACGCTACTGCTTTGGCATCAAATTTGATGGTCTCTCTCCCTCCCTACCTCTCTCAACTTCCATCACACTCATTCTCATTGTTCATCCTTCCATCGCACATCCAATAACCTCTCTCAGCCATAGTCCTCACTTTATAGCCTCTCTCTCTCTCTTTCTCTCTCTCTCTCTCTCTCTCTCTCTCTCTCTCTCTCTCTCTCTCTACCCCCCTCTTTTCTTAGACACCCTTATGATGAATTCTCTGTCTTCGTCGGTCTTCCACCTATCTTCCACCCCTTTCTTTTGGTAGCCCTTACACTCATTCTCCTTGTTCATCCTTCCAACACACATCCACTTGTCTCTCTCCCTATTCCACCTCTCTCACTATGCATCCTCACTGTGATAGCCTCTCTTCCCTCCCTCTCTAAACCATCCTTAAGCTCACTCTTCCTTTGTCTCCTCTTTCTCTTTGGGCCACCACTCACACTCATTCTCCTCTTGCTTCCCTCCCTCAACTGCCTTTCCTCTTTAAACTATTCATCCTCACTCTTATGATTTCTCTTCTTTTCTCCACTATAAAGCATAGATATAGATAGGTAGTCATGGACTCAGCACGGCAGATATGCAATGACATGAAATATTTGTTAAAAGTTGCACATAACATTCTCCTCTTGCTTCCCTCCCTCAACTGCCTTTCCTCTTTAAACTATTCATCCTCACTCTTATGATTTCTCTTCTTTTCTCCACTATAAAGCATAGATATAGATAGGTAGTCAAGGACTCAGCACGGCAGATATGCAATGACATGAAATATTTGTTAAAAGTTGCACATAACATGTTATAAACACAATGATTATTAATATAAAACAAAAGATTTAAAGTACTTTTTATTAAAGAAATCGAAAGATGAGGTATGATATCATATACATATATCTTACACTTTATCAGAGCATGTCAAAGTTGTGTTCGTGTTCGACACAAAAACATAAAGCATTTATAAGTGTCTGTGCTTCATAGTTATCCACCTTCTTAACAAATTTAATGCTCGCTCACTTCCATTTCTTTAATTCCTCTCTTGGCCACCCTCATAACCACCCCCTCCCTCCTTTAGAGTATGTCAAAGTTGTATTTGTGTTCAACACAGAAGCATAAGGCAATGGAAGTGTTTGTGTTTTATAGTTCTCTTGCTTCCCTTCCTCTTTGTGAACACAGAACCCTTCATTTCCCTTGCTTCCCTTCTTCTATAAAAACCCTTGCCTTTCTTAACATTCTTATCCCTCCCTCCCTTCCTCCATCTATCTCTTAACCACCTTTATTCTCATTCTTTACTTGCTTCCCTTCCTGTCTCAGCCACCCTCACTATACTTATTCTCCTCTTGATGCCCAACTTCCCACACCCTTGCCTTTCTCACTATTCATCCTCACTTTGATGATCTCTCTCGCTCCTTATGTCTCGCAAATACCCTTATGCTCACTTTTCCCTTGCATCCCTTCCTCTCTCAACCACCCTCATACTTGTTCACCACTTATTTCCCTACTTCCCTTTTCTCCTTATCCCCTCACTTTGATGGTTTCTCTCCCTCAACCCCTTTCTTGAGCACCCCATACTCACTGCCCCTATCTCCCTCTTTCCTCAACCCCTTTTCCTCTCTCACCATTCATCCTCATTATGATGGTCTCCCTATCCTTCCATCTTTTAGACACCCTCACTTCCCTTATCTCCCTACTTCCTCAACCCTTTTCCTCTCTCACTATTCATCCTCATCATTATGGTCTCCCCATCCTTCCCTCTTTTATACACCCTCATGCCCATTCTTCCCCTTACTCCCTTCATCTCTTGCTCCACCACTCACTCTCCTCCTACCTCCCTCCTTTGTCAACCCCTTTTTCCATCTCATTATTAATCCCCACTTTGATGGCCTTGCTCCATCCTTGCCTCTCCTAGATTCCCTCATGCCCACTTTTCTCATATCTCCCTTCCTTTTCACAACCCTTGACCATTAATCCTCACTCGGATGGTTTCTCTCCCTACCCCTTTCACCCCCTTTTCCTCTTTATTCATCCTCATTATGATGATATCTCTCACTACCCTTCCGTCTCATAGACATACTCATGGCCACACCTGCAAGAAATCCCTTCTCTCTTGCTCACACCACTCACGCTCCTGCTACCTCCTTCCTTCAACATCTTTTTCTCTCTCATTATTCATCCCCACTTTGATGATTTTTCTCCATCTCTCCCACTCTTGATGGTATTTCTCCCTCCCTTCCTCTCTTAGACACCTTCATGCCAACTAATTTTCCTCTATCTCCCTTCCTTTCTTCCTCACCTAGCTCACACTCCTCCCGTCTTTCTCCTTTCTTCAACACCTTTTTCTCTCTCATTATTCATCCAAACTTTGATGGTCTTTCACTATCCCTCCCTCTATTAGACACCTTCAGGCCCACTTTTCCCCTATCTCACTTCCTCTCTTGCTCACCTAGATCACTCTCATCCCGCCTTTCTCCTTTCTTCAATACGTTTTTCTCTCTCATTATTCATCCTAAAGTTGATCTTTCAACATCCCTCCCTCTCTTAGACACCTTCATGGCCAACTCTTTTTCCCCAATCTCCCTTCTTTTCTTTCTCACCTAGCTCACACTCCTCCCGTCTTTCTCCTTTCTTCAACACCTTTTTCTCTCTCATTATTTGATGCATGCAAATTTTATTTCAATTTTATTTTGAACTTTATTGTAATTTGAATTTTATGTTTTTGTCTTACCCTATGATGGAAGGCAACCAATGATCATGTGTAGGTTGTGCTCTTGGACATGCTATGCCTTTGGTGTGCTAGTTTCTTTGGTGGCAAGGCATATGGGCTAACTTGGTTTGTCCCAAGCTCCTTGGGTTGGGCTTGGTTATTTCGGGTTTTGCTGCCTTGAATTGATGGCTACTGAGTTATGTTTCCTTTTTCAGCTCATTATGGCTGTCCAGGTTCATTTCCCTTGTTTACCTTTTCATTTCCTCTGCCTGCCCAGTTCTTTCCCCTGGTGTTGTCCGTTCGTTTGTTGTGTCCCGTATCCCCCTTTCATGTGCTGCTCCATCCGGCTGCCTGTTGGCCTTTTGCCTCCCCTTTTTTGATTGGTTTGAGTGTGCGGCTGTTTAGCTCCCTTTCTTCTCCTATAAATAGAGGTTGTTTTGTAACATTTAGGAGCAGATTTTGGTGAGTGAAAATTACTTAAACCTGAGGGTTTTCTTCTTGAACAGCTTGCGAGCTTTATCCACTTTCTTTTCTCCTCTCTTTGACTTCTTCCCAGGCTCTTATCTACTTCTTCTCTCCACAAGTTTCCACCGCATTTGTATCTTTCTTCTAAAGCTTTTGAAGGTGTTGTTGGCCGGTTTGGTAGCATTTGCCAGAGGAGTTTATGGTGGACGTTGGCCCAAAGTTGCTGTGGTAGACCACTGGTTTGCATATCTTTGAGCACTAATCATTTTTCTACTATTTTGATGCATGTGAGGTGACCATTTGCTGGTTGTTCTGAGGGTAGTTTATTTTATTTTTATTTTGGTTTTCATTTATTGTCTAACTTTCGTTTGTTTTAAGATTTTATTAGTGTTGGCTTACTAAATTATGAATTGAGAAAAGTTCTTGCCTTAGTGTTCTCCTTTTGGTTTTCTTTAATCTATTTGTATGCATCATTATTCATCCAAACTTTAATGGTCTTTCACCATCTCTCCCTCTCTTAGACACTTTTATGCCCACTTTTCCCCTATCTCACTTCATCTCTTGCTCACCTAGCTCACTCTCCTCCCGCCTTTCTCCTTTCTTCAATACATTTTTCTCTCTCATTATTCATCCAAACATTGATGGTCTTTAAACATCCCTCACTATCTTAGACACCTTCATGCGCACTTTTCCCCAATCTCCATTCCTCTCTTGCCCACCTAGCTCACTCTCTTCCTGCCTTTCTCCTTTCTTCAACATCTTTTTCTCTCTCATTATTCATCCTAACTTTGATGGGCTTTCACCATCACTCCCTCTCTTACCCCTCTCTCAGAAACCTTCATGTGCACTTTTCCCCTATCTTCCTTCTTTCTCTCTTGCTCACCTGGCTCACTCTCTTCTTGCCTTTCTCCTTTCTTCAACACCTTTTCCTCTCCCATTATTCATCCTAACTTTGATGGGCTTTCACCACCCTCTCTCTCTTACCCTCTCTTAGACACCTTCATGCGTACTTTACCCCTATCTCCCTTCTTCCTCTCTTGCTCACCTAGCTCACTCTCTTCTTGCCTTTCTCCTTTCTTCAACACCTTTTCCTCTCCCATTATTCATCCTAACTTTGATGGTCTTTCACCATCCCTCCCTCTCTTGTACACACCCTCATGCCCACTCTTCTCCTATCTCACTTTCTTCTCTCAACCACTTTTCTCTCCTACTATTCATCCTCACTTTAATAGTTTCTCTCATTACCTCCCTCTCTTAACACCCTCATGCCCACTTTTCCTCGATCTCCCTTCCTCTCTTGCTCACTCCACTCCCACTCCCTCCTGCCACCCTCCTTCCCTCAATTTCCTTGTCCATTGCTCCTTATCCATCTTTGCTCTAACAGTTATCTCCCACCTCTCAAACATCCTTGCACCTTGCATGCTCCTTGCTCCCTTACCTTGCTCCCTTGCTTTATGGGCAAGTCAAACACAATGATTTAAGCAATTCGTTTAGGTATCATAAGATAAAAGCATATAATATGGATCAAGCACTAATCTATTGACCTCTCTATCCCTCCCTATTTTGTCCACCGTCACACAAATTCTGTCAACTCATTTTATTCATCCTCACTCTATGGGCCTTTCTCCCTTTCTATCTTTTCCACGATCACACTCATTCTCCTCATGCCTCTCTCTCTATTCATCACAACTTTGGAAAGGACCTGCAAGCTCACTGTTCTTTTACTTCTTTCCCTCCCTCTGCTTACTCTTGTCATTCTCTCTATTTGCCTCACCTTACCAAGGGCACCCTCTAACCACAAAATCAACTACATAGAGTCTCAAACTTTAAAAGTTGAAAGAAAATTTCAATTGTGTATGAAATTCATCTAGATATCATAACTAGAAAGTAGACAACTAGAATACATGGATTGATCGCCATATCTATAGGTCTCCCTACATCCCTATTATCTTGCTCACCTTAATCCTATGTTGCACTGATACACCTATTTATGAAGGCGTGTTGTATCCGATACACGGATACGCCTCCGTTACTCCACCGATATGTGTCGGATGCGCCAAAGACATATCAAATTAAAATACTATTTAATTTCAAAAGGACACGCGTATCCGATACATGTGTCCGTTGAAAACAAAAAGAAATCTGAAAAAAAAAGATGCGTCGTATTTACTTCCACGGCTGCGAGCAACGTTCTCTCATTTCCGAGATGGATTTGAGTCTCTTGATGATATGAGAATATTAGAGATTACTAATCTTTCACTTGATGAGCCTGAATTAAAATCTATGATATTTATTGAAGATGATATAGAAGTAAAGACAAACCACTGAAGAAGCTAATCATATCATTCATTCTATTGAATAGTTGAAACTTTATGTGCTAGACAATTTATGTTTATGCTTTCGTTGTTGTACTAGACATTTAATGCTTACTTATATTTTGATATTATAAGCTACAAGGCTACAAATGATGTTGTTGTCATTTTTTTTTGTAATTTCAAATATTATGCTTTGATTGTTTTCTTAATTTTTATGTATGATTTATAAATTATGATGTCGTATCCGCACCGTACCCGTATCCTGTATTTTTAAAAATTGACGTGTCCCGTATTCGTATCGTGTCGTATCCGTGTCGCCGTATCGGTATCGGTGCAACATAGCCTTAATCATTATCCTTGTGCCTCCCCGCTATTACCAAACATTGTCTTGCTTCCCTCTCAATTCACCTACACTATTTATGCCCCTCCCACTAAATTATTCTTAATTATATGTATTACGCATCCAATCTATTAGACTCTATCCTTTCCTCCATAATCCATCCACCCCTCATATTCATTCTCCTTCTGACTCACCTATTCCTTTTGCCTGACATAGCCATCTTTCAATTCATCATCAACTCTAGTCACACTCCCTAGCTACACACCAACTGATTTATTGATGCAATAAAAAAAAACTATGGCGTACTAGGTATGCAAATAATCGTTTCCTTTCTTTAAAACTAAAGACACCTTACAACTTTAAATAAAAGAACACAACAATACTATATGACTAATCAAGTCTTACAACTTTTGAGAAGAAAGATACAATGGAATGGTAACTTGTGGAGAGAAGAAATATATTAGAAGTTCCGAGATGAAATAATAAAGGGGAAAGGGAAACAAGGCTAGCTCACAAGCTAGAATAAAACCTGCAGGTTTTCTTTTCCAAAAATCACTACATTTCACTCCTCTAAAATAGCCACAAACAACCCCTATAAATAGGAAAGAAAAGGAGGCCAAAATCCATGCTCAGCCGCCCACTACAGCCAACTAAAAGGAAAAAGAAAAAGGCAACATTAAATGCACAGTAGAAGCCCAACCGAGCAACCAAAAATTGGGAAAGCCAAGGGGCATCAGCAGGAACAAGATAGCCAGCAAGGGGAACCGGGAAAAGTAAACCGAATAGCCCAGCAAGGGAAACTGGGAAAAGCAGGGAGCAGGAATCGAATAGCTGAAACCAAGGAAAACCGAGAAAGCAGTGAGAGCAGGAACCGAACAACCAAAAGCAAGAAAAATAGAGAAAAGGAAGGGGGGGCATTGCTTACATCTTTTATATGCTAAATTTAATAGTGGAAATTAACTTCAACTTTGTAGGTAATTGCTTTTAATATATATATAAATTAAACTTCAATAATTAAGCACCCAAAATTTAATGGTCTCTCTTGCAGCGCTCACACACTATCTCACATGTTCCTAATTATATGGTTTGATCACCAAAACTATTGGTCTCTGTCTCTCTCTCCCTCCTTATCTTGCCTCCATCATATTAATTATCCTCATGCCTCACTCCTTCCATTGGTCATACCTTCGAAAGTTTAAGGCACTCCAAGGCTGCAAGGTTTTTTGTTGCTTGTGTTTGGTTTAAATTTTTTTTATAAATTCTTCTAAACTGAAATCCCACACAATTAAACACAATGCAATGGAAACGCTATAATAATAATAGCACATCATGGAAGCAGTAAATATATAAAACAAATTAGCATGTGAAAGCTAAGAATATATAAATGAGATTAACAAACTAAATACAAAATAATGTACGCCATTGTAGGAACAAATGCAACACAATACAAATAGAAATACTTAGTTTTTTCATTCACATTCTTATAAAAATTGTTACCTTGTGGAAATGACAATAATTTGTTGAAGTTGGCTCTGAAGAGACCTCAATCGTAACACATTCAGCTTCAGAGTTTCAGGTACTGTATCGGTAATCAGTCCTTCCACGCTGCTTGCAAGCCTCAACAAGCCAAGCCTCAACAATACATCAAGTTTTTCACCAGTGCATTCTGGTTGTCCATCAACTGCTCATACAGATAAAGAATGAATATGAATAAATGGAATCCAATCAGTTGCTAGATGTTACGAGCATATTGCAAATACAATGCTTCTTTGCTGTAAACAGCCTAGAAATCAATTAAAAAATGATCAAAAGAAACATATATTAGAAACTGCATTGCAGATCCATAACTCATTGTTTTTATTAACACCGCAGAAAGCAATTGAAATGGATTCATGTAAATAAAAAAAATGGAGGTATATATAATCAAACTTGTCCTTAATAAACACACATTTTTGATAATTTTCAAAGCTTTTTAACTGGCTCATATGAAAAATGGTCTGATGGTAATTGGAGCATATCTGAACGATAGTTCAAGGGAAGAACTACTACAGCCAACCCAAATATCATTTGCAGAGCTGTACCCCATCCCCATTTCCACATAAATACAAACCAATCCCATTTACTTCGTTCAAACGGAGAGAAAAAAAATCATCTTTGGTTCAAGAAAATCAACTGAACTGGATAAGAACTAAACTATTGTGAAAAGACAGGTTATTTCAGGGACAAGGACTCTTATATGCACCTGGTGCTTCAGCAGAAGGCTCCCTATGCGCCAAAGGCATTTTTCCACCTGTTCGAAGAGAAGTAATCGGAGGAAGAGCCTGCCGAGAAGATAAATAATAGTTAATAACTCCACATAAAAAAAAAAAACAACGTAATCCAATAGATGTATTTGAAGATAATTTAATATGTAAAAATGGTTCTTACATGACTCTCAGCCAATAGAGAGAGAGAATCAACATATTCATTCCATTCTTCATCTGCAATGTTTTTCAAAGGTGATAGCCACAGTTTCGTTAGAGTGAGTGTGTCAGCAGCAGCAGAGGGTGGACCATAGCGTTCATCAAATGCCTTCTGCAGGTATTCCAAACCAGCAGAGCCCTTTATGATTGGTTCTATCATCTGAATACGTGCCTTGCTAATTTCCTTTTTCAGAGCCTGGCAAGCAGAAGGATGGAGAGTCTTAAAACAAGCATACAAGTAATTTTCTAGCACAAGCACAAAAACAGTAACAATTCGGGAATAGCAGAAAAAGCAAGGAAATGAAATCAGCAAAATAACATCCCACGAATACAAAAGGTATTGTATCCTCATTGAGATAAACGCCAAGTGGGGTGGCTAAGAAAGAGAGGTGTAAGTAAGGTATTATGAAGCACATAAGTAGAAAGAGGATAGTAGGAAAATTGAAAAAGAAGCTCCAATAAATCCATAGATTAAGTACAAAGGAATTACCTGGATCTGGTCCAGAACAAAGCGAAGACCCTTAATCATGGAAATAGTAAAAGTGCTTTCTTTTTCACAATCAGATTGAGCAATTGAAGCCAATTTTTTTAATAACTTCTCATGAGACTTTTTCAGATCATCCTCATTTGCGGGAGCAGACAATTTCCGCAATGTAAGTAGAGCATACTCCAAAATCCTTCCAAGATAATCTCTATCACGAGTTCCTAACTCGATCACCTAAATAAATAAAAGAATAAATATATTTATGAATAGACAGCAATACTGCAAAACTTCCCAACTACCGTGAAGCTTATCAACACTAAAATTTAATCACAATCATGCTTAAGAGGGTATATATTTCCGAAATAATTATTATAAATATAAATTGCATTAAGTTCCAATAGATAATTATTAGATAAGAGGGATTCCACATTGCATATTTACCTGGGATAAAATATCAATATCTATACTTTCGTGAATCTCTTGCTTCCAGCTGAGAGGAGCCATCTCACTTAGTTCATCCCGCACCTCTTTTACAAGTCCTATGATACGACCATAGTCAGGAGAATCTTCCTTCATAGATTGCATAACCTCATCCCAGAATGCCTTCTCCATGGTCTCCTTAACTTTTGACTGCAAGATGAAAGTGAACAACAGCTGAGAGCAGGGACATGAGACGCTAAAAACACCCAAATTCAACAAAATAAAATAGGCACTCAGTATCGTAAAATGTCAACGACAAAGGAAAGTGAAATCCATTCAGTTAAGTTATGGAATTCTTATTTCAGTCAACAGGTTAACTTCAGCAGTTAACTATTGTGGAAGGCTTCTTAAAAAAATGGTAAAACTAGCCGTTAATCTTCAATTTTTATTGTTGAAAGAAGCTAAATTCAATCCCGGTCAAGTTTATCAATTTATCCATCTTTAAATTGTAGAATGTCCTTTCTTAAGTCTCTACCGCACATTGTTATTATATCTAATCATATGACTGCATGTCTCAATGCCGATCAAGAAATTTTAAAATACAAACCTTGATGCTGCTTCCAATTGCATTTTGGACATCCAGATCATCAGCAAAACTACTTTGATCATTATGAACAATCTCATTCACAAGAAGCTCATTGTCAGAAGGTAGCTGCCCAGCTGTTGTGGAACTTGAATGAGTACTTGGAAGTGGTTGCAATGAGGTGCGTCCAAACAAAGAACGAGCAACATGTTTGGAACCCCTTTTCTCAATAAAATGTTCCCTGGAGACAGAATCCACCACAGATTTCACTGATGAATTGGAGCCATTTGGTGATGAAAGCTGAGCAACATGACCAACTAAAGGGGTACCACTCTCCTTTGCTTCAAAGAATCTAGACCTCGTCTCAGACAATGCACACTCCATCCGTAGAAGACCTTCATTTCCACTCAAATGCTCCACTTTCTCTCTAAGAAGTTTTTGATCTTCAGCCACCTAAAAAGTAGATTAATAATTGCAAGGTAAATTAGAAAAGATGATACTCGACAACAAATGAAAGGAACAAAAAGAAGCTACATCAACACAAACTGGATATAAAAGAGAAACAGAACTCTGTCCCAGGGTAAAATTACACATGTTGACGACCTCAACTATCTGAGTTCTCATATAACTCAAACAAGCGTAACATCTAATAAAAGCACTATTAATAGGGGAACCTAAAGAAACAGTGTAAGGCCAAAAAAGATATATTATCTAAATTAAAAATAATGCATAAAACAATTAAAAATAATGATTTTGAATCTGTATAACTTATGTATGAAGTCAACACGTAATATAATAGCTTAGTTTTCTATTCTATTCAACCATGAAAGCCAGTGAAATTTTAAATTTTGAATTCAAAGAGTTGGTTATTTTTTCAATTAAATTTCTTATTTTGGCTTACCTTCCAAATCAAATGACATAGCTGGGCTACTTTCTGTATGGAAGTTCGAATGCTATATTGTAATAGTAGTTCTAATTCGTTCACATTACAGGTTTTAGCAGTGTAAGGGTTGGTTGGCCAAAAAACAATGCAATACACAGCACAAAAATGGCAGAGCATATTTGAACGGAAGTATTTGTCCCCAGTTGCCATAAACATGGATATTGAAGGCCTCTGCCTATTTAAAAATTGGATTCATCGCTTGGATTTTCTTTTATTTTCCCAATTTGCTAAATTAAAGTTAAGAAGAGAGAGTGTGGTCATTCATCAAAAGGAGGATAAAAAAAAAAAATGGTGGTGTGGTTGTATTTTTTATAACCATAATAGAGAGACTAAAAACAAAATGCCAAATATAAAAACTTAAGTAGTCAGATAAGCACCTGTTTTTGAATAGCCCTCATGTCATGGCTTAGATTAATTGCCTCTCCTTCAGAAGTCAGCTTGCATGTTTGCATCATTGAGAGTTCAAGCTGGCAGGCCGCTCTGACAAGATCATCTTCAAGCAGCCGAGCATCTTTAACTTTCCAAACAACAAAACAATAGAGATAAGAACGCCACACAGCATCAAAAATTAACAGCTGCTTTCTAAAGGTATTTTCTGGAGGAGATTGAGTTGCAGATTGTTTGTGATTCTCTGAATCATGTAATAGAACATCTGGTGATGGAAGCTTCGACATAAGAACACTATTAGTGCCATCCAAGATGACCTTGATTAACAACTCGAACTCTCGAGTCAAATCCGCAGCTGCCCTAGAAAGTGCCACTTCACGCTCACCATGTTCGCTGAAAACAGCATTTGGATGCCCCAAAATCATATAAGCGCAGAGAACTGCCCTCATTGGATACCTGGACAATTTACCTGCTCCAGAACTTGAAATCTTAGCAGAGCACTTATTATCCACCACTCTACTCTTTTTACCAGGTGGTGTTCTTTTCCTTGGAGATGATAAGCGCTTAAGCAGATGATCTATGTTTTCAGGATTAGATGAACTAGATGGCTGATAGAGTAAGAAACGGCTTTCAAACCGATCAAGCAAAGCTTTTACAGTCTGAAGTGTTGCGGCAGATTCTATAAGATGTGCGAGCTGCTCGAAAGGCATAGTCTTGACAGTATTCTCATTGATACCCAGTGCAATGTATTCTTCAGCTAAAGCAAAGGTAGTCCTTTTACATCTCACAAACTGTCTCCAGAACCTAAATGGCCACTCAAACGTGAAATTTTTTTTTTTTTTGGTGACACCTAAAAGAGAAATCCTAAAGAAAACATATAGCCAGAAGCCTCACCAAGCTAACTTTCTCGAAAGAAGATCGCCATGTCTGATCCAATTTACACGAGCAGCAGCATTATGTGCATTACTTCTCAATCTTAAGTGCTCTGCACGCTGTCGTTTTGCCTGCTTGCCATCATGGTCCATAAGAAACAAGATAAGCAATATCTCAAATGAATATATCAGAGGATCAAAACATCAAATAGCCACTCCAATGCCCACCCCAACTCCCAAAACCCAGCTCAACACCCACCCACACACACACACTCCCAAAAGAACCACCAAGATACATCCACACAAACGTTTAAATTAAAGAAACAATTAAACAAGCAAAACAAACAGACAAACACCAGCTAAAACAACTATCTTCATACCCTCTGGAGACGACTTTCCAGCTGCTCTTTCATTTTTCTCCTCTCACTTTCTCTTTGGCACCAAACAAATTTGGCTACCCTGCAAGCTTGCATTACTCTAGCTTGTGCTCGTGACTTCTCTGCTTCCAGCAACATCATCCGCTTCCTCTCAGCAGCATACCACTTTTGGGAGATAGCTGAACGAATGCACTCTTTGTACTTATTCTCTCGTGCGGTTCTCTGCAACAAGGATCTGGCTTTTCTCTCCTTGATCACAGCTCGTTTTTGCATATGAGCTTTAAGAAGTCGCATCCGATTTGCCTCAGCCTGTTGCACCCGGGATTCGACCCTAGAACCCAACTCTTCACGTTGCTTTTCAAAGCGCATCTCTACACTACATTTAGCAGCTTGCCTTAGCTCATCCAGCCGAGCTAAACGCATCTGTGCATTTGCTAAAAGGTTCAACCTAGAAAACATAAAAAATTCTTCAATATGAGAATAACATTCAATGAAGCTATCTTTTTATAAATTAAGACAAATACCTATCGTCTAACAGTCAAATTAGAATTGGGAACAATTGTTAACGACAGTTAAGCTCATAACATTCATTCATTATGAGCTATAAGCTCATAACATTCATTCATTATGAGCTAGAAATAAGATCCCTGCATAGGCAAAGCAGGAAAAGAGGAATAGAAAGTTCCAGCATCTCCATTACAGGGCATGGGCTCACCTCATATAATACTGTATCAATGCTAGAAAATAAAATCTAATTATAATAACTACTTAATTCATAATTTATTTTCACTTAAATTAGATAGTATTCAGAACAATTATAAAAAACTAAGGAAGATTCAGGATTCCACCATCAAAATTTCAGTAAATGAAATATAGCCTGCACATTAAATCCTAGCCCCAACCAATATCTCAAAAATATACCATACTAGAATAAAAGGTTCATAATCCACAATAAACTAAATTATAATTAAAACATTAGGGAATCCTAAACAAAAAACCTAGTAAGTTATCATGTTGGATAACAAAACTAGGAAAAAAAAAAGACAAAGCATTTTATATAAAAAAAGAAAAAGAAAAGATGATTTGTAAGTATAACCTTTTTTGCTCGGCTGCATTAAGCTTTGCCTCTAGCCGCTGACCGGGATCTTCTTCTTGAGATGACCAAGACGGACTCCTTGGTTTTGGCCTAGCTTTGCTTGACAACCACTCATGAAATTGCTGTTCAAATATTATTACAAGTTAATATGCAGCATGTACTTTGAAATGGTTTTGTGCAAGAACATGTAGAAAACAGAAGAATAGAAAAACATACAGCATCTTCTACAAATTTAAAACTAAACAAAATGTTTAACAACAAAAAACAATGAACATTGAACTAGCGCTTGCCATCCTGCCTCCCCAAAAGCAAATCCACAAACACTATCATAATGATAATTTATGCACTTTCTGTAAGTATTCATATAGATGCATTTGCAACTAACTATGAGAAGAAAATTAACTTGCACCATAAGCCAAACACAACTCTTAAGTCTTAACAAAGTACACCAATAAAATGTTATTTTCCATGGAAGTGTGGTAAGTTGCAGCCTCTATGCAATCCAAACGAAGATCAATCCTAAAAAATTTCAAGGGCTTATAAAACAACTTCCAAGCATTCTAGAAATAAATTGCAGAATGAGAACCACAAGGAAAGCAAAAACTTTCAGACGCTCAAGACCGAATGCAAGTGACCTTAAAGATAAACTGAAGACAATTGCCTTTCAATTTACCTTATAGCAATTGAAAAACCAATGGGCAGGAAAGGACATGCTCATGCCAGCTCAAGCCAATGGTAATACAAAGTTGAAACACTATAGTTGTACATTTTATATGCATCATAAGTCATTACCAGAAAACCCATCGAATATATGCGGAGAAGCTGCATACTTGCTAACGCTATTCAATCATACTTAACAAAGATATTAGTATGAGAGGAAATGGGAGGATAACCCCCACCTAGAGAATAAAAATTCTCCAGAGAACATAAGAAAACCACGGACAAAATCCGACAAGAGAACTTGAGCTTTAGGGTATAGGCAACTCTTTTTTACATAGAAAGGATCGTTGGCAGGTAGAAGGCCTTCGTTCACAAAATCTACATACACGCTACATCGTTTGATAGAGAAGATTCCTAAAGAAAACTAGGAATCAAATATCAAGAAACCCGCAAGTTTTTAAATTGAGCTAAATTAATAAGAAACGGGTTAAGAACATTAAATTTAAAAACTTGAGGCCGAAAATTGAAAAGCTTTAACACCGAAAAACAAAACTCTGGAACCTTGCAAATGCAATCAAGCTGTCAATTAAAAATTAGTTGAATTAATTGAATAAATGGATGAAAATTACTAACAACAAAAAGCAAAGCCATCCACCAAAAAGAAGATATTAGCAACTACAGGAAGAGACAAAATTCAACAAGAATAAACCACAAACATATAAACTCAACTTACAGGCAACGATTATTATTCCTGCGAGAGTGGGTTGAGGGAAAGGCAAGAATTTTTCAAAATCAACATAAAACAAGCCATGAAAGTTCCCAGGACAACACCAACACGGGAGAAATGAAAAACAAGCATGATAATACCAGCAGGTCTAATAAATCATTCAATCTATCACTGAAAGAAAATCGAATTGCCCCTAGACCGGTCAAGAAAAAGGACAAGGCTTTAATCCAACGATCATCAACCCTATAAAGGGAGATAAAAACAGAAAAAAAAAAGCCAAAAAAGAATCTCAAGATGAAAGCACCGACATTAAAAACAAACAAACAAAATATCATCAAATTCCAAACAGCCCACGTCTAATACCAAGTCAAAAATCCAGGAAACAAACAAGCGGAACTATTATAAACACACCCGCCTACGGAGTTCGGCTTCCTTGAGCTTCGCCTCGATCTCCTCCACGCTCGAAGGTGGGCTGCTCCTGCACTCGAGCAACCTCTTCCGGATCCTCCTCGGCACCTTCACCGGAGTCGACGAAGAAGGCTCCCCAACCGAGAAATCCAGCGCGATCGCGGTGGCCCGGCCCCCCTCCGGCACATCCACACTGCCCGCCGCCTCCATCAAATCGATCCGACAAAGAAGAAGCAAGCAACCACCCCCGCGGCTGAAAAGAGGGAAAGAGAGATAAAAACTGAGTTTGGTGAAGAATTGTGTGAGGGAAGACGAAAGGGGGCAACGAAAGGGAAGCAAGCACGTATCTTTTGATCCGACTCTCCCTCGAATGTATATAATAAAACGGAATTTATCTAATTTAATTAAAAATTAGTCGTTATCAGTCATTTTTTAATCGTGTATTATACGCATCTTGCTTTTTAACTTTTCCTGAAATAAATTGAGAACGGCTTTAGCCAACGGACAGGCGAACTAAAGAGAACCTTCCCATCATTCTTAAGGACATGCTATCTTTTTACGAGAATACCCTCGGACGGGAGACATTGGGACCATGCCTCATGGTAAAGTGGCCTGATAGTGGGACGTTATCAAAAGAGCCGTTGGATGGTTGCGATAAAACTAGAATTTATAACGCAAAAAAGCAATGAACATATGTAAAACAGTAAAAAAATTATTTATATATCAAACATCTGAAATTTAATATGGCAAAATTTTAAGAAGTATCATCAAAATTTAAATTATGTGAAGGAGCATAATTTTATAAAAATTTAAACATAGTCAAATTAGCCAAATGTACGCCAAACGACAATCCAATTTCATTATCTCTCCACATATGCCAAGATAAATTATCTTGCAAATGTCTAGTGAGAATATCCATAACAATAACAAATTAAAAGTATACACCAAAATCAAATTATATAAGAAATGTCATTTTCCATTTTGCCAAAATATTTCCCCCTAAGTGAGGAACTTTTATTTGGTCCGGTGAACGTACGTAGAGCTACGTTCGGCCGGCACTAAGATCGCAGACACAAACTGAGAAATACCAAGCAAATACCGATCAATACCAATAATAAGGAGAAATATCATTATGTGAAGACAAAATACCGAGTAATACTGAGCAATACCGAGTAATACCAAAAAATATCGAGTTTCTTCTAGAAAAACTCGGTATTTTTTGGTATTGCTCGGTATTGCTCGGTATTACTCGGTATTGGTCTTCCCAGAGTGATATTCCTCGTTATTATCAAATAATACCTAGCAATACCGACCAAATACCGAGCAAAAATCGAGTAACAATCCTCTGACCGAACGTAGATCTACGTCCGGTCAAAGGACGTAATAAAAGTTCCTAAGTGAGGCATCCAATTAGAGAGAGAGAAATAAAAGAGATTTCTAGAGAATTTATTTTGGGTGGCTTCGATCAATTTTTCTTCTGTTGGCCTAATTTAGAAAGTTTGTCGAATCGAGTTAAGTTACATTCTTCCTATCTCAATTTTTAAAAATACAAAATTTTAATAGCTTTGTTCTAATTCGTATTCATGTACTATATTGCATAAATTTTATTATATATACATTTGGAAGATGAATGAAAAGAAAAGAAAATTTTTGAATGAGTTTACCTTTTATTCAGTTAAAAGTTAATTTAAAGCTCTATAGTCCGTTAATAGTTAAAAGAAATATGAAAAGTCTCCAAAACTTGATCATAGGCTTGGTTTAACACTCTCCAATAGGATATGATATGTTCTATCTAGGATATGACATATTTTATCTATGGGTCATATTGGGTCGTAGCATGAATTAATGTTGTTCATAATGATGGTTATTGGTTCTTATTATTACATGCTTATATTAATCTGGATTGAATGACTACATGCATATTATTTTTACTACCGTGCATTAATTGTAATAGTGGGTTTTGATAACCTATTGAGTTGTTAGCTCACTATATAATTTTAAATATTTTTAGGAAGGGGTAAATATTCAATGGAGTGAGGCTAATCAGGCTTTTTATTCTTTTATGGTCAAAAATATTAAAAGAAAGATTAATATACTAATGCATTGATTGAATGTTTGAGTATTGTAAATTAATTTTGGATAAGTAGTGAATATAGTAAAATATTTTGATGTATATGATTGCTTTTGTTGGCTTTTACTTAAATAAATAGAAATTAGTGGCTCTAGTAGATTAATAAGAGATATATTAATTAGGTAATTATATTACATTTAGATTTTGGGGTTTTTAAGTGGTATTAGAGCAATAGTTAGTGGAAGAATTAAATCGTAATCAATGGTATATGAATTGATTGAGATGGGAAAATTGTTGGTAGTTTTAAGGTAAATTTATTTTTTGCATTTATAGTTACATGTATATTTATATAATTTAATTATAATTTGTTAGGTAAAGAGAATTATATTGAGTGTGATAGACCCATATGGTCATAAAGTATCAAATGAATGGAGTACAGTAGCCCCATTGAGTTTTAAAAGTATGTGTAATTTGCTAGTTATATTGCTTAATTGATGAGTGTTGCACAGAGTAGACAGGTTCGGAGTAAGGAGACTCAGGAACACAAGCAATTATAGATGTTCTATATATTAAAGCCCCATTATTTAAAGGAGATGTAGAGCTACAAGCAGCTGATGATTGGTTACTGAGAAGTTAAAGATATTTGGAAGCATGTAATGTTTAAAAAGTGGGGAAGTAATACTTGCAATATTTTTATTTGAAGGTGAAGTTGAAAGATGGTAGATAGGATATCATATTCTAGTGCAAGTTAAACTCATTATACATGTGAGGAGTTTTTTTAGTACATTTAGTGACTGGTTTGTACATTTATCAGCATGACAACATACACAAGAGAATTTTATGAGATTAGAGTAAGGGAATAAGGCAATGTTGCAATATGAAGCTGAGTTATATTATCTAGTTATGCACCTCAATCGATTAGTACTATTAAGGAGACATGCTATAGATTTTTAAGTTGATTAAAAGATAAGCTGAGGCATTTGTTATTGGTTTTGAGGATTCATGAAATTTTTTAGTCAAAAGAAAGAAAAAGATTGGTGAAAAATGGTTTAGTTTTTTCCTAATTCAAACATGATATTAAGAAGAGTGCAGGTGAAGAAGTGATCAAAAGAGGAAGCAGTGGCAAGAAAAGTAGCTTAATTAATTTTAGGAGAGGACCTATGATACAAACTTGTAGTATACATACGTTTCCTTGATATAGTAGAGGCATGCATGATGGTTTTATTTGATCACAGGACATGGTTTCAATGTGGCCAATACAAACACATGATGGATTACCCACATAGAGGATATAGAGAGAGATCATGATCCAAGATAGATCATTCTAGATAGGCAAATGAACAAAGGATTGTATAATCTAGAATATCTAGTTAAGGCTCCATGAGTGTCACAAATGGAAGGAATAAAAGTGGGACTTGATAATCCACACCATCAATAATGGAAGCACCAGTTCAGTTAAGAGTGTATAGTTTAATTAGCAGAAAGTGAGAGATGCACTTGAGAAATCTATTAGTATAGCTCTCTATTTTGAATACTGTTGTGAAATTTTATTACTGACAATTAAAATATTTTGTATAACATGCTATATGGTTGATTGATTAACATGCATACATGTGTGAATGAATGAATACATTATATGATTATATAATTGATGTGACCAATGATCAGTAAGTTTGTTTTGTTTATTAGTGGCCTTTAGTGAGAAATATCGAGAATAAGATTTCTAAGGTGAGTAGACTGTAATAGCCTCATATTTAATTTTAATAAAATTCCTGTAATTCTAGAATTTTGATTAGGAGACCTACAAATCTACAATGTTATGATTACAACAGTAATGATGTTATCCTCTTTATCTAAGAGATTTAAAATTAGTTGCATAGTCACGCAGTGGTTTCAAAGTATTACCGCTTGCTAAACTCTCATATTTATAAGAGTTAGACTGAGCACAGTGGCACAAGGGTCTTGACCATCGTGGCATTAGGTTAAAAAACTTAATTATTTAAAATAAAAATATCAAATTCCATTTTATTAAAAGCTAGCACCTAAGCCTTCCCACTCCCATTTCATATGCATATCGATTAAGAGAGGAGAGAAAATAAGACAGAAAGTATACATCATATTTGTATTTTCTATCTCTTCAGCTATGAAAAGTGCTTTAATCATAGTAGGTAGCCTTAACCTTCTTTTGTTTTTGATGATTTTGAGTTTCATCTCTTTTCTCTCTCCTTAATTTGATAAAAATATAATATCTCTTATTCTAATAAACTTTCACTGTGTAATGTTTGATATGTGATAGATATCATTATCCTAAATATTTTGGCATGTTCATATTAAAATTTTATTTATTATTTTTGAATATATGCCAATTTATTTTAAATGAGTAGAATAATATTAAATATAAAATTAACATGAGTTAGTGTACTACATCTAAACATGAAATATATTGATATACATTAATTTACTATTCATTTGGTCTAACATACACTTTAACATAATACATGCATACTGATGAACACATTGGATAGATCTACATGATAAGACCATTACATCTGATGTGTATGTGATATTTGTTATTATTAATTTCATGATGTTAAATATGTGTAAAAGGAAGAAAGACTGGCTAAAAAAGATTAACTGATCTAGGTTGGTTGAAGACATGTTATCCTGTGCAGGAGATGGGCCAATGGATTTAACTTTAAATAAAATTGATGATATAATCCTAAGTGATATGAAAAAGGAGATATAATGAGATGGATTGATATGATATAATACAATGACGGGAAAGTAGTGATGTCTTTTTAAATGAAAGGCACATGACTTATAATATGTGATATGAGATTCATTTCTGGAAGCATAACTAATATGATTAAGACTGATTCATATTCGGTCTAAAGAACCTGCAAACTTGATATATAAAAAACATCACAAGTAGTCAGGTGTCTTGTTTTGCTTATATATGCATATGACATATGCATATATAATATAAAAATGATATAGAAAAAGATAGATATAGGTATATGATATATATGAAATGCATGGTATACATGATATATTGTATATGATAATATATTGTATATGATAGAGAATATGATATACATATATTGATACTATACAACATACATAAGATACACACACACACACACACTAATTGAAATAAAGTATAATTTATAAATATGACCTACTGTGTTATATTGGTCATAATTATATGAATGATAGAACATATTGATCCTTTATATTATGACTACTGATCACTGGTCAAAAGTTACATATCTTATATTAATTCCC